TGTTTTCTGTTTATGACGACCTCAAATCTTGGTGCTACTTGCATGTCATGTTGAAGATCCATTTGTATTTCTGCTCTTGGTTTTGACGTGAAGCTGACAGTAAAATCCAGTCTCGCACAGGTATATAGTCTCGATAAGCACCAGCAAAGCAAGAGATTCTTTTCTTGCCAGTACAAGATGCTTTTCAACCGAGAAGCCCAGAATTGCCCCAGGCAAACATCTGTGAACTCCATTTGGATTGCATTTCTCAGATTGAAGAGATCCACCTTGATATCACTGTCATTATCAACACTATACTAGAGTTCCCTTAATAAACCAGCCCTAATGATTTTGTATCCTCACACCCCCTCGGAACTGATATCACACCCTTAGGGAGTGCAGACAACCCTACTTAAGAATCACTGAAGTAAAGGCATTGAGAGAGGCTGCAGATGTGGCACTACAGAAGAATGCTGGGAATAACATGGATGAAGTATATGAGGAAATTGTAAAGAAAATGAAAACAACAAGAATATTTATATATAAAAAAAGACAGTTGAAATTTCTGGGGCAACAATAAGGAAAGAGGGCTTGGAGAATATGGCACTCACAGATTATTTGTAAACATCTATGCCAATGATACAATGATATCTGGGCATACCTCTAAAACTCTTGATGATCAGAGATTGGCTGCTGACTTTTCTTCTGATTTAGCAATAACTTCCCAATTGGGGAAAAACTGTCTGGTTACATCCAAGACCTCAAAAACCAAACTAATTGTATTCCATCAAAATATTTACAAGGGCTCTGGTGAAAATCCAAGGAGCGTCTGCATCGGCAACCGGCGGCTTCTGGTCGTTCCTGTCTCTCGTCTGTGGGAACCCCCATGGCAAGCAAGAACGTTATCCGAGTAGGCCTGGGTACCCTACTTCTGTAATTTATCCCAAGAATCTTCTTCTCATAACAGGAAGAAGCCGGCTCAATCCGCCCAGGGTGAATGCCGCAACACACACACACACACACATCAAAATATTGGGCCTGAAACTGACACACAGCCATAAGTGGAACTCTTGTGTATGATTTATTGCTAAAGATGCAGGTAAGATAATCGGCTCCCTGTACCACTCCAGTAAGTACCTGACTCATGCTATGCTCTACCTTTATAAGAGCCAGATCAGGTTGAAAATGGGGTACTGTTGTCATATTTGGTTGGGAGCTGCGCAGTCCTCAATTTTCAGTCTTGATAGAGTTCAAAAGCGTCTCTCAGTCTTTGTTTGAGAAGAATTATTTTCCACCCTCTGATCTCCTTTCTCACAGGTAGGATGTAATGAGCCTCTCACTATCGCTACTTCCATTGAAAGAACTCTGACGAACTATCTTTCTTGGTTCTTGCCTTCATGTCTAGGACCTGCCATACCATTTACATAGTAATAAACCACCCACATTCCCTCCATATTCCATTGGCAAGAAATAAGTTCCACTTAAACAGCTTCTTCCTGCAAACCACTTCTCTGTGGAACACTCTCTCAAAAGGGTGTTTCTCTGATCACTACAATTTTAATATATTCATGTTTAGGGTTAACCATTATTTTCCGCTCTTATCTGCATAGCATCTAGAGTTAACTGTTATCTTCCTCTTCTGTCTATATAAACTACTCCTTAATGTAACATTCTACCTTGAGTGGCCCCTGGGCCTCATACAGGATGAAGCTTTCTGTAAAAAAAAAAAATTTGAAGAGAGGCAGAGAGAAACAGCAAGTGACCAATCCAACAAGCTTGTATAAATGAATATATCTGATGTCTTCCAACTGACCTGCTTCTTGTTTGACGGTGTCTCACACTGCATAATTTATGTTGTCTGTGGAGATACAAACCTAATCAAACAGAAAGTTAACACTTCAGAGTCAAAAAAGCAAATGACGAATACACGTTTGTACACATCTAGGCTCAGAGCAGAACTTTCATTTCTTTCAATTTAAAAAAAAAAATAGAAAAGAAATTCGGATTGCATATTTCAACCAATCGGAAGCGCCCACCTATAAGATTCGATAGCCATAAGATCCAGCACTTGTTTCAACAAAGTGTATAAAAGAAACACAGAATTAGCTTCAAGGTTTTTTTTGTCAACCACTTGTACTGGAAGCCATGTCGGTCATTTCTTTGATACATTTTCAAGTACTTGTAGGACTTGATTTTTTTCTCCTCCAACGGATAGAAACATTTGTTTTATCTTATACACAGAACTATAGAAATATTATACACTACTTTTCTTTCACATAAACATTCAATACAAAAAGCAGAACACACACAAAATGATCAGATATTTATTACTAACACTTGGACAAACATTTTTGACCATGAAGCTTTACTCACTCACCAAATACCAAAATTGTTGTAATATAAAATCATTGTTATTGAATCTTATTTCCATTCTCTGCGTTCTTTTAAATCTGTTGTGGAATTATCACAGAGGATGCAGTTCCGTAAAAGGGCCCTTTGGTCAATCAAAGTCTTGATGAACACTTCCTAAAACAATCTGTCGATGTTCATTGAGAGGGTTAATTCTACACCCCTATAGAATGAAGGGTTTGTGTATCCTTTCCGATGATGTTTTAGGCTTTCAAAGGTGTAGTTGGCTAGTAGAAGCGACATTTTATAATAAATACTTTGTCTCTTCCTGCACATCACAGATCTACAGTGTATCTGAACCAATTCAGACCACAGAAAATGTCATTAAGTATGTCATTGAATCTTATTTCCATTCTCTGTGTTCTTTTAAATCTATTTTTGTTGTGGAATTCTCACAGAGTTGGTAGTTCTGTAATATGTCTATGTACGAGATACCTAGCCTGCTTTTGTAGGATTGCTTTTCTAATGCTTGGATTCTTTACTATAGTTCTGTTATTAATGTCCAAGATTTGCAGGAATACAGGTGGCCAATGCCTGCAAGAGTCTCCACTGGTTGATAACCATTTTTTTTCCTCCATCTCTCATTAGTAGACTTATCTCCCAGGGCTGATAATCATTTACAAGAGAAAAGAATATAAAATCAGGATACGGTATTTCAGTCAGAAATATTTTAAGCAAGAAGTTTTTTCCAATGCATGTCATCTAATCCTTCTTGGTCAATCTAATTGAGCATTATACAGTGAAGACGTTAGTTCAATGTCTATCTGGCTACAGGCATACACACACACTTCCCCTCTCCTCTCCTTCTTTGTTGTATCTTTTCAAATTGTGATGACATTTACCTTTTTGAAAAGTTTACCTGTAACAAAATTGAAGCACCTGAACTAGTTAAGATATTATTTACACTATTTACCTTGTTTGGGCTGTTGTCTTCATCTTTGTTGCTATAGTCATAATGTTTCAGCCATTGTACACACTGGAATTTTGAACAGGCCCCTTTATTTCATCCACCAGGGTAGATTGTTCTAGTTCCACTTGTCATGCCTCTTCCAGATGTGTCAGTATCAGTTATCTCCTTTCTCCAAGTTTTTTGTTCATCTCCGCTGTAACCAGGCATTCTTTGGATCAAGTCAATGGATTCAAGCAATGCTTTTATCCACTGGGCTATGTTTCAGTTAGAAATTCCAATCACCTGAAGATAGCCAAATATTGTGAATATGGTAACAAAGTTGAGGACAACAGTCCAAACAATGTAAATAGTGTAAATAATTACACTACCACATCTCAGAAATAAAAACAAACTTTCAAGGAATCTTAAACTAAATTTAATTTCTCATTCCACTGTTCTTGTCTAGCAATATCTTGTATTTTTAGTTTGTACAACTCCTTTATTACTCACTATCTGTCTATATTTTTGAGATGAGGTATTATGTACACTATTTACATTATTCGGACTATTGTCCTCATCTTTGTTGCCGTATTTATTACAACGTTTCGGCCGTTGTATGCTTCGTTGTATGCTTCGTTGTATGCTTCAAACTAAACCCTTTATTTCACTCACTGGGGTAGACTGTTCTAGTTCCATGTGCCATGGTCCATTAAGGATGTCAGTTATCAGTTATCTCCTGTTAATTCCTTTCTCCAAGTTCTCCACTGCCTTAACCAGGTATTGAACTCACACTCTTTGGGTCCTGTCACTCAAGGACACATGGCACAGTGGATAAAGGCGTTGGTTAGATCCAGTGACTGGACCCAAACAGTGTGAGTTCAATACCTGGCTAAGGCAGTGGAGAACTTGGAGAGGTGAATTAACAGGAGATAACTGATAACTGACATCCATTAAACATGGCACGTGGAACTAGAACCGTCTACCCCAGTGAGCAAAATAAAGGGTTCAGTTCGACATTCCAACCACCTGAAGAAGGCCAGAGCGTACAACGCCTGAAACATTGTAATAAATATGGCGAGAAAAATGAGGACAATAGTCTGAATAATGTAGTGTCCTTTATTACTCACCCTGTCTTCACCAAGCCTAAATCTACACTACCCAGCCCAGGGATTGAACACTGTTACTATATCATGAAACAACACTTTAATCCGCTGGGTTATTTATTGCCTGGTGCAGACTTAGACTTACTGGAAAAAAAGGTGAACAATAACTGAGCAGTACTACATAACGAGCCGTGATTGCTTTTGACATAGAGAGTGAAAGGAGAATGATTTCCCCCTATGTATTATCTTTAAAGGTTATCTGGATTGACAAGCACTTGAAGAATGGTCAAAATGTTATAACAACAAAAACAAGGAAAATATTTAAAGTGTAAATAGTGTAAATAAATATATTTTCTAATGTTTGTTATTTATCAATTATTTTACTGTTGCATTGTCTAACTTGTCACTCTAAGTAAGATACCATTGATGTAAGATTTTCCAAAAGCTCTAAAGAAATAAATTTTGTTTGTTAAACATTTCATTTTTGAGCTGAAGAACCTATAAAAATAGTTGTTCATTGAATTCCAACTTCTAAAAAATAAGTTGAAAACATTTGAGAAAGAGAAAGCTAACGTCAGTCTTGCCAAACAGCTGGTTGTATTGATTTAGTTATATGATAAATGAATAAATCAGACGGCAAGGCAGAACTCACGAGGTTAGGAATGAGCAATGATATTCAAGTTCTTGATGGATATGAATTATTAAGAATAATTTCCTTTGTGGAAAAGAGACATGGTATCATAAATTTTAACATAGGAGGAAATTGAAAATGATAAAAAGGAAACAAGATCCTCAAAACGGAAGATAATTTTTTTTTTCTTTCTTAAATCTGAAGAGAACAAGCAGAAAAATAAAAATTTAAAGAAATGGTGTCGTGATGTAAGTGAAGGAAAAATAAATTGCTACAATAACTCAAAGGAAAATGTCATTGTCATCTTTGTTGGCTGATTTGTAAATGAGAGGAAACAAAATCTGTCAATGAGTGTGTCGTTTTACTGACGTATTGACACCTGAAGTAACAGAGGGATTTTTTGGTGGGTGGGGGTATATTTGATTAAGAGTGCAGAATTGGGGTTAAATTTTTTTTTTTAAACTGACAAAATACCAACTGTTTCGGTTTAGTCATCTATTATGGGAAGTGGGGAATAAGAGATTTTTTTTTTTGATTTTTTTTTTGTTAATCATTTCACCCCGAGGAAGGCGATAATGCCACTAAGATGCAAGGAGTTGGAGTGAAAGAGAATAAGAAGACTTAAAGTAACTGGAAACTCAATCTTAAACAAGTAAGGGATAAACCTCTACTCCTGTTCAAAAGACCAGAGAGGAAAAATGTTCAAACATTTAAATCCCTTACTCTTTCTGCTGATATTATTTTATGAACTATGTCTCTTCAAGATGTGGGTGATTATGGATCACCCCATCTTCCTCTCCTTTATAACGCTTTTCTTTTTGCAATCCTTTCATGTTCACATTCCACCATCCATTCACACAAGCTGTTCAGCTACATAGCCTGCTGCCTTCCTTGTCCCCTATGAGTGTCAAATTCTCCAAGCCCACTTTCTTTATTGTGTCCAAGAAATTTAATTCTTTCTGATTCTAAATGTTCTTTTTGTTTTTATTTTCCATAAAACTTTGTTATTAATATGCTCTATCCATGATATTCTCAGCATCCTTCTGTAGAGCGACATTTCTGTTACCATATGTCTTCATCTGTGAGAAGAAAATTGTCTAGTATTCATTGCTATATAAAAAGGATTGCTATAACAGATCAGCTCGCTTTTCATTGTCTATAATGAAATTTTCTTGTTTCTTAATACTTTTACTTTTCGGAAGGCATCTTTCGCTGTTCCAATGTAGCTTTGAATTTCAGTGTCACAATTTCTGCCATTTGTTAAAACACTTGCCAGAGATTTAACCTTCTGTACTTTGATTTTTGATATTTTCAATTCATAGTTCACATCTTGGGTTTTTTTTCTCTTGCTGAAAACCATAAAATCTGTCTTAAAATTGATGGTTAGTCCTTTCTTCTTGCTTTCTTTTACTACCTTATCCATTGATATTAAATTTGTTAATTCTCTTAATCTACTTTTCTCTCTTTCATTTGCAAGTAAATTAGTTCCTTAGATCTTCTGAGTATCATAATCAGCATGAGAAATGAGAATCTTGAATACATTGCCAATTATTATGAAATGGACAGAGTCCGACAATTTTTTTAAGACATTTTTATGTTTCATATATTCTTTTTTATAGATACAAATATTTAAGTAAATGCTCTGTTTATAATAAACAGTATTAAACAACATTTACCAGCCTGAATGTCCGAGAAATTTTCATAGAAAATATTCATCCTCTGACAGGAATCGAACCTGAATCCTATACGGAACCGTCATATAGCCTGACATGCCTTAACCGATTGGGCCACAGAGGATCGTTCGGTTAGCAAGGTCGATTTTACTGTTTTTAAACTACAATCTTCCATGAATCTCACACGTACATTCATATCTGCTCAATACGTATCCAAATGTAAACAAATGATGTCACAGGATTCAGGTTCGATTCCTGTTGGAGGATCAATATTTTCTATGAAAATTTCTCGGACATTTAGGCCGGTAAATGTTATTAATACTGTTTATTATAAACTTAGCATTTACTTAAATATTTGCATCTATAAAAAAGAATGTATGAAACATAAAAATGTCTTAAAAAAATTGTCAATTATGTATCTCTTTGTTTTATGGAAGAGGAATTTACAAAATCCTTACAAAATAAAAATACACACAACTAATTTTCTAGCAACGGATGGTTTCTTTTAACTCTAGTAAAATTATAAGCAAATATTTGAATTTCATTTTGCCAGACTAATACCCCGGGTGGCCACAGGTGATATTATATTTAATAATAGTTAAATATATGTTTCTAACAAGCAATGATATTGTATGTGAGAGATGCATAATTTCTGGGTCAGGAGCATGTAATTGAATTAATATCACATGACTTCTATTGGACCAGTAAAATGGATAATCCAGCAGTTTTGGAGCTAATGTTTTGCTCTTTGACTTTTTAGTTGTTTAGTATGTGTTGGAAGATAGAACACAGTCTTACTATTGAGCCTTTGTGCAAGGCTTTGCCACTATAATGCATTTCTTGAACCCAATGCCTGTTGTTGTCTACACTATTCTATAGTTATGGCTAGAAGTTTAAAACCACATCTGTATCCTCTGACAAGCAGAGAAACTCAAATTTATTTTGCATGAACATGCCAGAGAACATGAAATGATGGATTTGAAGCTTGAACTTTGTCTTTCTATGGCTTTTTCTTTTTTTTTTTTTAATTCAATCAGAATAGGAGCCATCAGCTGTTACTTGGCAATAGCATTGTGAACTGCAATCTTGCTATAGCCAATATAAAATGAGATTTCAATCTCTTTGTGTAATCTTACTATTTGGGATCTTTGAATACCAGAAACTGACAATTTTTTTTTGTTGTTCATTTTTATTGTACATGTGCCCCACAAAAAACAGGAAAATGTTTTATTTACTATATGATGAAAAAAAATTAACTAACAAAAAAAATAACATTTTAGCTTGAACACATCTAACATTTGTGTTTTCTGTTCTGTTTTAAGCGACTAAATTTCTATCCTTTGCTTTTGGTTCAAATAACTATAATAAAGATTCCAACAATTAACTGTACCAAATTTTTTTTTCCTCTTTTCCTTCTCTTTCTCTTTTCTCTCTTTCTTTCTCTTTTCTCTCTTTCTTTCTCTTTTCTCTCTCCTTTCTCTTTTCTCTCTCCTTTCTCTTTTCTCTCTCCTTTCTCTTTTCTTTCTCCTTTCTCTTTTCTTTTTTCCCTTTTCTTTCTTTTGTTTCTTCTTTCTCTTTCTTTTTCCTTTCTTTTTCCTTTTTCCTTTCTTTTTCCTTTTTCCTTTCTTTTTTCTTTTTCCTTTCCTTTTCCTTTCCTTTTCCTTTCCTTTTCCTTTCCTTTTCCTTTCCTTTTCCTTTCCTTTTCCTTTCTTTTTCCTTTCTTTTTCTCCTTTCCTTTCTTTTTCTCCTTTCCTTTCTTTTCTCCTTTCCTTTCTTTTCTCCTTTCCTTTCTTTTCTCCTTTCCTTTTTTTCTCCTTTCTTTCCTTTTCTTTCTTTTTCTCTTTCCTTTTTCTCCTTTCCTTTCTTTTCTCCTTTCCTTTCCTTCCCCCTTTCTTTTCTCCTTTCCTTTCCTTTTCTTTCCTTTCTTTTCTTTTTCCCTTTCTTTTTCTTTTTCCCTTTCTTTTTTCTTTTTTCTTTTTCTCTTTCTTTTCCTTTTTTTTTCTTTTCTCCTTTTTCTTTTTCCTTTTCTCCTTTCTTTTTCCTTTTTCTCCTTTCTTTTTTCTTTTTCTCCTTTCTTTTTTTCTTTTTCTCCTTTCTTTTTTTCTTTTCTCCTTTCTTTTTTTCTTTTTCTCCTTTCTTTTTTTTTTTTTCTCCTTTCTTTTTTCTTTTGTGGATCACCCCTGTATATTTTAAAACAACTTCAAATTAGCCAATATTTAGGCTGTGGTAATATTGCAGCCTATTTACATCAATTAAAAAGTGGATGATGAAATATCCAGCAATAATAGAGAAATGTTTTTTTTTTTTTTTTTTTTTTTCTTCTTCCAGGTTGTCTTAAAATTTTTTGTTAAGACTGTAGATAATCCAGAGATTATCCATTATTGTGTAAATCTGGTGTGTTTTTTGCTTTTTAGATAGTATCTGCACTCCATGTTTATCTTTGTACAGCTTTAGGTGACAGTTTTGAATACAGTTATCCTTTTCTTAGACTGTTTATAAACCACAACTTCACATCCCAAGGGTCCATTAAAAAAAACGAAAAAAAAATTTGTAAAAACGAAACATAAAATTAGATAATTCTTTACAAAAATGAAAATATCTGTCTATATTTCTGAGATGAGTTATTGCAACTAATTTACACCATTTATACTGTTCAGACAGTTATCCTCATCTTTGTTGCCATATTCACAATGTTTCGGCCATTGTTTGCTCCGGCCATCTTTCAGGTTATTGGAATTTTGAAATGAACTCTTTATTTTGTCCACCGAGGTAGATTGTTTTAGTTCCACATACCATGCCTCTTCCATATCAGTTATCTCCCTTTAACTCAACTCTCCAAGCTTTTTTGTTCACCTCAGCTGTAGCCAGGTATTGAACTCACGACTCTTTGGGTCAAGTCACTGGATTCAACCAATGCTTTTATCTACTGGGTCATTATTTCAGTGGATGAAATAAAGGATTCAGTTCGAAATTCCAATCACCTGAAGAAGGTTAAACATAAAAAAATGTCTTTAATAAATAAATTGTCGGACCTTGTCCATTTCTTAACATATGACGTCATTTGTTTACATTCGATACGCCAGAGCAGTTATGAATGTATGAGATTCATGGAAGATTGAAGTTTATAAACAGTAAATTCGACCTTGTCTACCGTAGGTTCTTCTTTGTGGCGAGACGGTTAAAGCACGTCAGCGTATATGACGGTTTCCGTATAGGATGCAGGTTCGAATCCTGTCAAAGAACGAATATTTTCTATGAAAATTTCTCGGACATTCAGGCCGGTAAATGTTATTTAATACTGTTTATCATAAACAGAGCATTTGCTTAAATACTTGTATCTATAAATAACAACGTTAAACATAAAAAAATGTCTTTAATAAATAATAGAATACAATGTCCAAAATGTTGTGAATATAGCAACAAAGATGAGGACAACAGTCCAAACACTGTAAATAAAAATGAAAATTACAGGTAGTCTTATGTTTTAAGATATAAATTATCTTGAGTTATTAACTTACCTAGATTACCTTCCAGTAAAGGCCAAGATCTAATCGGTCTACAAATACTCTTTCCCCTTTTTACAGAAGGTTAAATGTTAATAGTTTATGGTCAGAAAGATGAGGAGGCCAATGACCCCCCACCCCTCCATTTTACTAAATATCTAATATGATATTTTTTTTCTTACAGATGTTTTTTCACACTGGATACAATGAGTATATATTATTTCAAGACTTCTATACCAAATCTGTAGGTGGTAAGTATAAAAACTATTTACTTTTTCAGGTTTTGTTATTCTCACATTTGGTAAGTTTAGCTTAAAACGGCACAAGGCAATGAGGAGCAAGGGTGATGAAAATTCTGGAATCTCACATCAACTTGGAAAATAACTATCGGTAAAAAAAAATCAGAAGGAGATGGCTGAAATTTCTGGGATACATAATTAGGAAAGGACAATTTACAGGACACTGAATGTAAGGGGAGGGGGGGTTCAGAGGAAAACTGTGAATAACCAACCCAACGAGCTCGTGTAAATGGATGGTAGAACATGTGCAACAAAAGAAATAATATAAAGTAAACTAAAGGGACTGACAAAACCAAAGTTTTGTCGTAAACAAAAACAAAATTTTAGAGATTATGGTCAGCGGCTAAAAAGGAAAAAAAACACCGAAGTTTACCAGCAAGAAGTTAGAAATACTTCAAAATAACTTCAGTTTCTGTGTTTTTGTGATATAGTTTAGATGTTAGGTCAGCAAATGGTAATAAACAAATTGCTCTGAAGCAGATTTCTACAACAACTGACTTTGCCAGCCAACTCCTTTAATTTTGGCACCAACCAACGAATACAAATGCCAGAATAAAAAACATTCACTTGTCATCTGACCACATCAAGGAGTTCTTTTGAAGTCTTTTATCTGAATGATCTAGAACTCGAAGAAGTTTCTTTCATAAAAATAGATTCTCTTAACACCTAGATTAGTAGAAATAGTACGGAAACAAAAGATAGGTTAGTCATGATCACTCATATCCTGAAAGGAAACAACACAAAGATGTTTTAAACTATCACAACTCTATATTTCCACTATTTAGATTATTCGGACTATTGTCCTCATCTTTGTCGCCATGTTTATCACAACATTTCGGCCATTGTATGCTCCAGCCTTTTTCAGGTGGTTGGAATGTCAAACTGAACCCTTTATTTCGCTCGCTGGGGTAGACTGTTCTAGTTCCACGTGATATGTCTAATGGATGTCTCCTCTTAATTCTCCTCTGAAAGTTCTCTGTACCTTCGATACAGTTCATGATGGAGAAAGAAAGTAACAACACACTCCCATTCCTGAATGTTCTAATATCCCAAACTGAGCATGGGTTCAAGACATCCATATACCGTAAACCAACATTCACTGGACAGTACCTCAATTTCAACTCCCAGCATCCATACAGAGTAAAGAAAGGGATCATCTATCCGCTGCTTACAACATTGAGCAAAAGTCATTAGTGTCGACGCAGGGTAGTTGTTACGTTGTAGGGTACTAATTATACTGACCAATTCTTTATCTAATGTCTCTGAGTTGCCATGGATGTCTTGAACCCATGCTTTGTTCGAGATATTAGAACATCCAGGAATGGGAGTGTGTTGTTACTGTGGAACCCCCTTCTGTTTACTTGCTTCCCTGATAGCTACAATCTTCAGAAATTTAAATGCAACAACAATTGCCATCTTCTGTTTTCTTCAATCCCATTCAACTTTTGTTCTTTCCTCAATCCTCCCTATTCTCAGTCTTCTCTTTCACTCCCTTTTAACCCCCCACTCAGCACACTAGTGACATTCCCACCTTGTTTGGGGTGAAATCGTTAAAAAAAATAAAGTTTATTCATAAAACATTTTTAAGTTCACTTGGTAGTGCTCATCTTGTCATAAAGTCACTAGTTGTAATGCGATACCAACAATAACAGTTATAGGAAGTAAATCCCTATTAGAAGACAATTAACAAACCTCCTATAAATCTAGCACTAACTCAATATGATAAAAACACCTGTAAATTACATCATAAATAGAAGCAAATTTCAAGCCACTAATGGCTGTAAATTTGCAAATAAAAAACAAGTCAACAGTCACAGACAGTCTGACAGATTTTACAACCAAACTAAAATCCATTAAGCTGATGTTTGAACTCCTCAAATGACTAGAAATCCCTCATATTCATAGGCACTCTGTCAAGTCTTGTACATCTTAGATCTTCTAGAAATCTGTACTGAAATAGTTAAATCACAAAAATCAGTCACCTTTGCCTGGATTGGTATACCAGGCAATAAAATAGCAGACAAACCATCAAAAGACGCTTTCCACATGACAGCAACCAACATAAAGAAGCCGAACACAGACCTCAAAAAGAAAATGAAAGAAAATATCAAGGAAAAATGGCAAGCAATATGCAACTCAAAAATCTAACCAAGTATATACTGTTTATTCAACTATAGGAGAATAACTCCGAGATTTCAGAAAATAAGTGTTAAGGAAAGAGTTTTATCGAAATTCCAGATGGGGGACATACACATTCGATATACTCACATCTGCTATAAAATGAAACTCCCTCATTATACAATTACCTCTCACAGTTGAACATAAACTCATAAGTTATCATCACTTGTCAAACCTAAAGCAAACAATAGAAAAGAACTTTCAAAATACTGAATCAATCAATATTTTTAACTTCTTTTAGGAAATCAAACTTTATACCAAAATATTAAACTATAAAAACTCCCAACAAATCTAAATAAAATTTTTAATATATTTTGAAAACTGAAAAAAAAAGGAAAAAGAACCTTTTAAACTTCATAAAGCTCCCCACTAAAAAATAATAATTCAAGTTTTAGTATCAGAAATTGAATAAAAACTAACTTGTATTAGAAACCAACATATCTGTAACTAGACCCACAGAGTTGTGAGTTCAATACCAGGTTCCAGCAGTAGTGAAACAAAAAACTTAGCGAGTTGAGGGAAATAGCTGAGGCATCCAGAAGAGGCATGGCGTGTGGAACTAGAACAATCTACCCCGGTGGACAAAATAAAGGGTTTGGTTCAAAATTCCAATCGCCTGAAGAAGACTGGAACATACAACATTATGAATATGGCACTGAAGATGAGGATAAGTCCAATTAATGTAAATAATGTAAAGAAACCAACATCTCTAATAATTCATTAAAAAGTGTTAGTTTCAATCCCATGGGGAAATGACTGCAAAACACTTGCCCCACCCCAATTTATAGGCAGAAGCACACAAATGCATGCTGGGATTTCTTCCTAGCCATTTAAATAGGCCAGTTCTCAGTTTCATCTGACTCAGTCCCATTCTGTCTTGTCTTAGAATGCTATGTTTGCTTATATTTTTTGCCCCTGTTCTTTTCTATTTCTTGTTATTGCTCATGGCAAATTTTATTAATTTTGTTTATTGGACGATTCTGTTACTTATTTTACATTTGACCATAGCTATTCCCCCGACAAAAGAAAAAGAAAAACTTACACCAGCTAACTTGTATCCCAAACTATCATTGATCTGCATATAACATCAATTCAAAACCTTTATCTTGCCTTAAATAGCCCTAAAGGTGTTGATAGGCTGTTAAGCAGAAAAACCAACCCTATTAAAGGTAGTGGATTAATATGTGTCCTAAAGTCGTTAATTCTACAGAAACTGCTTCAACCAGGACTTGCATTGTATTGGACTCTTTATGCATGCACATATAAACTTCGTTTCTGTTCTGTGCCCCTTCAGGATGTAGGCAATCATGACCCTCCACACTTTCCTATCCTTTCTAGCTTTTAATGAGTTTTATAATTTTGTATATTTCCGAAACCCTGTTCTACCATCCATTTACTCAAGCTCATCAAATGTTACATGCTGCTTTCCCTCCTGTGAGTATCAGATTTTTGCAAGCCTTCCTTCCTCATATGCCCCAGAAATTTCAGCTACCTCTTCCTGATGTTACATGTTTCCTCTTTGTTTCCATTTTCTCCAAAACCTTATCATCATTGCTCACGTTTGGTCCCTGGTATCCTCAGCATCCTTCTGTAGAACCACATTTCTGTTGCTTCAAATCTCTTCATCTTTGAGGAGATTGTCCAACATCCACTGCCACAGTTATCTCTTGTTAATTCTCCTCTTTAAATTCTCCACCGCCTTAACCAGGTATTGAACTCACACTCTTTGGGTCCTGTCACTGGATTTAACTAACACCTTTATCCACTGTGCCATGTGTCCTTGAGGACTTGGAGAGGGAAATTAACAGGAGATAACTGACATCCATTAGCCATGGCACATGGAACTAGAACAGTCTACCCCAGAAAGCGAAATAAAAGGGTTCAGTTCAACATTCCAACCACTTGAAGAAGGTCGGAGCATACAATAGCCGAAACATTGTGATAAGTATGGCAACAAAGATGAGGATGATAGTCCAAATAATGTAAATAGTGTACATAATACCTCATCTCAGAAATATAGACAGATATATATGTGTGTGTCTGTTTGGTTCATCTTTTCTAGACCCTTCTTGCAGTCTTCTGGTGAGCAGTGTTCTAAAAAAGATAGCTCTAAAGTTCTCCTGCTGGAATGTGTGAACACTACCTGATAGCTTAACTGGTTTAGCTCCTGTACAGGGTACAGCCTTGGTCACCAGAGGACTCAATCATTATGATGTAGAAATAGCAGCTCTGTTTGAGACATGAATTCTAGATGACAGATGTCTGGTGGAAGCAGGGTGGGAGTTACATGTTCTTCTGGAAGAGTAGAAAGGTGGATGACAGAAGGAAGGCAGGTGTTGGGCTTGCAATTTACAACACTTTAGTATCTAAACTGGCTGAACTTCCTTATGGTATCAACGACAGGCTGATGACCCTCTGACTACACCTTCATGGAGGTCGCTATGCCACCATTATTAGTGCTTTTGCACCAACACTTCCTGCTGAAGAAGCAGACAAGTTAGCCTTCGACAAGGAACTGTGTGCCCTTCTTAGCTCTTGCTAGGTGATTTTAAAACCAAGGTCGTCCGTGACAGGGGAAACATGGAGCTGTCTGGGTAGGTATAGGGTTGGTAAAATGAATGGAAATGGGCTACACCTTTAACTATGCATGAAGTTTAACCTGCATATTGTTAGTACACGGTTTCATCACAAGGGGAACCACACTACAACCTGGATGCATCCAAGATCTCAACAGTGTCATCTTATAGACTGTCATTGTCTGGAAAAGGAGATGA